TATATATATATATATATATATATACTCATTAATAATAAATAAATAAATATATATATATATATCAAATATAAACCAAATAGAAATATTTATTTGATCTATTTTGTTCAATTAAAGCTTAAGAAGAAAATTACAAAAAGACTTTAAAATGTCTAAATTTTTCTAATAATTGATTGCCACCAAAGGCATAGACCAATTAAAAAGAAATTGTTTTCAGTGGATCTTCCAAAGTTGTAACTTTATATGGGTCTCCTATTTTTATTATCAACTATGGTCCATAGACAATATCCTTGCAATTCCGGACATGCTTTTTTTTATTATTTTATTATTTTATATTATATTAAAAAAGACGCGACATGAGAACTTTTTAAAAGACCACTCATTTGAATATTACTTATTTTTGTCCAAACACCAATTATAAATGAGAACAAACATCCTTTATACACAGTGAATGTGATTGCAATTAGAAAATTGAGTTTCCTATGATTTTCTTTTAAAAATCAAGATATCTCTCAGATAAAATTAAAGACTAATTCTTTTAAGGATTAATTTTTTTAAAAAAAGAATTAAACTCCTCTGACAAATATTTTTTACACATTTATATTAGAGGTCAAATTTCTAACAATATACTTTAAAAATAAAATTATTTATCAATTATATCACATCTTATTAATTTCTTAAAAAAAATTTCTTTTAAACATTATTCACTATTTATAGAAGAATCGATTAATAATTATTTATTTTATAAAAACATTCTACAAGCATATACACATGTAAAATTATTACTAATCAATGATTTTAAGTTCAAAATTTTTATTATTTGTAAAAATTATAATAATAACAATAAAATTTAAGTTTAAAACCTCGTGGAATTATGATAAATATTTTAAAAAAAATCACCCATAATAATTTTATTTTAAATGAACTTAGGGAGCAAAGTGCATCATTCAAATTATTTTATATTTTTCTTTCTGATGTATCAAAAAAAATAAATTATTTTACACTTTTCAAAACATACTTCTTAGAATAATGTATTTATAAAATTAATTTATAAGATGAGATTTATTTTTTATTTATATATATTTTTAATTATTTTATCTCTAATAAAGAGATAAAATTTTCTCTATAATACTTAAAAGCATTTTGAAAAATGGCACGCAAATAATATATTTTCTCGTAACGTAAGGGAACAGCAGATGTGCTTCTTTCAATTATTTTGTACTTTCAAAACATAATTAAAAAAGAAAAACAGAAAGAAGGTCACATGTAGGCAAATTCAATGATTTTGTACTTTTCAATCATAATGAAAAAATAATAATAAAAAATTCACTGCAGCTAAAGAAACTTTTATTAAAATGTGTATTAGGGGTGAGCAACGGGTGGGTTTGGTCGGGTTCGGGTGAAAAATGTCCAACCCGTTGTAAATCGGCTTTGAAAAAATGTGACCCATATCCGACCGACTGAGCTTTCGATTTGAGGCGATTCGGGTTGAAACGGATTCGGATTTAAGCGGGTGGGTATAATCGGGTTTGAATTTTTTTGTAGACCAATTTATCTTAACGAAGATGAAGCTTAAAACGATAAAAAATATTTTTAAAATAGTGTATAAACATAGAATGAAGGTGACAATAGATGGTGTAAATAGATTCGTAGTTGAAACATTTACAAACTAAAGAAGCAAAAATAAAAGATAACAAAATTCATAGTTGTTACATGGAAAAGAAATATAAAGTTAGATTACAAAACCATAAGAAATCACAGTCACACAAAATGTACTCAAAATGGAGATAAGAAGATGGAAAAGAAAGACAAAGAAAGAAGCAAAAAGATAACTCTAAAAATGGACTAGTGTGTTGAGAAGTTGAATGAGGAAGGAGAAGACAAAATAAATATCTAAGTTATGAGAAAAAGGAAAAAAATAAGTTACAAATTGATGGCTATATTATACTTGAAATAAAGACTTTTAAATTTGGACCATTGTTGTTTAGTTATACAAAAGTAATAAAAATTTAAACTTATCTCATTTTCGGTTGGGTTCGGTTTTTAGCGGGTTTAAAAATTCAAAACCGAACCCGCCCAATATAACCCGTATAAAATCAAAATTTTAACCCGATTTACCCATAAGACCCGCCCGAACCCACCCAAAAGCAATATTTTTTTTCGGGTTTTTCGGGTTCGGTTCGGGTGTCGGTTTAATGCTCACCCCTAGTGTGTATGTAACATTGGATTCACTTTTTAGTTTAATGGGTACGTGATTTCTGTGAAAAATTACTTTACACCAACAATTAATTAACTTTCTATTTTTTCACCTTAGATAGTATTATTTTAATTAAATAAAAGATAAAAAAGGAATTAGATTTTGAAATGTGACAATGAGACAAAGGAGAATGATGGGCACAAAATTTGGAAATTTGAGTTTTGAGTTAAGAAAGAATGAGACAAAGGAAAATTACTAGAAAAAAAAAAAAAAGAGAAGTTAGTATGAGTTCTAAAGTATGCAACAGGCCTTAGAAAATGGTTAATATGAACGCATTTCTTATTATTAAATAAATCTTATATTGACTTTACTTAAAAAAGTGCAACCTGAATATATTTTTTTTAGTGAAACTCAAATGAAATTCAATTAATGGTAAATAATATATTAAGGAGGTCTAGTGTAACGACCCGTCATGATCTCTACAATTAGTGGAATCGCACTAAAACTAGTTAACTAAAAGAATATTAAATTGGATAACACATACATACAGGCATAGATATAAAAATCAAAATAACTAAGTTTCTGTATACAAAATAAAGCACCATATATGTACAGTCATCCCAAAATATTTCTTAGTGCCGGTCAAGCACAGACAAAAAAATCGTTACCCAAAATGGTAACTCAAAACACGAGGCTCAAACTCCCCGTCTCGCAGCGGTCACCTCTACTCCAAGCTATTCCTGACCTGCTCCCATACCAAG